ATGGCCCTTGTAGGAGACGTCAGCCACGTAGCCGGCGTAGTGGTCGGCGGTGTAGGCCACGTTCTGCGTCCTGCCGTCGGGGAGGGCCACCTGGTACGAGCCCTGAAATGGCCGTCTTCGTTTGAGCACAGAAACAAGGATTGCATTTGCATATTAGTTGCAGTAGCAGCTGCTGTCAGTAATGCAGATGTTGATGTGAGTGAAAATAAAAGTAACGGTGGTTATTATTATTTTTCATTGTACCTATTGTTGTTTTATTTGCTGTTGCTTTACCATTATTACGATTGTTATCGGACAGAGTAATAGCAGTAGCAATCGAACCATCCACTTTAAACGTATAGTTTGACAGGTTTGGTTATAGATGACATCAACTTGTTTTGCAAACCCGATAGATATTGCAAATAAAATAAAGAGATTTAAAGGAAAGTTATATTTGGTCTGGTTTGCTGAATTGTGGGACAGTTGTGTTGACTAGTTTGTGACAGGTTGAAATGGCGGAGGGCATTGTTTGGGCGAAGGGTGAAAAGACTAATTGCCAATTATATGAAATTGAAACAATAGCTTTCAAATTTGTTCTATGTCACCAATGGTAAGGAGATTACTGTGCGATCTACTGTTAATGCTAAGGGGAGCTATCCATAGAAACATCGTATGATATCGGAGTACGAAGAGGGAGAGAGGGGGGGGAAGAAAAGAGAGAGGTGAGTAGAGTTTACGACAGAGACAGGAGAAAAGATTGCTGCAGACAGCGTTATTGTGATTCGTGTGTAGTCATGCGTAGTATAGCGTATTCATAGCCTTGGTTTTATGTGCAGATAGTTATGCAAAGTTGCAAATGACTCACTAACGCTGGAGGGACATGGAGGTGGGCGGGTTGAGCTCGCCTACCGCAGACCAGATGGCTGACGGTCTGGATTTGTTTAAAAGGTGTTGAACGTCACTTTATTGCCCGCTATTGGAAAGCCAAAAGGCGACTTAGCTCTTACAATTTTATCATTAGATAGATGATTATGACTTTTATGACAGTGCAATTAGTACTTCCGTATTTATTATTTTTTATTTATTTATTTATTTATTTTTATCAAATTAGAGCGTGTACCAAGTGAATGGAACTTTTGATCGAAATCACTATGAGTAAGCATGGTTATCAGGGGAGGGCCATAACATGTAAGGGCGAAACACAATAGAATATTCATGAAGAGTCGTAATTTAGGCTAGTTAGCATTCATATTACTGATATTGGATATGCGTGGCATTATGTGCGAAATAAGCGATATTGAAGCGAAGGGCGTTAGGGTTCGGTTGGCTGATGCGCCATCAAAAGCCGCTTTTAATGAGACTGTGATTTGTTAGCCTTAAATATGTTTTTAATTGAATTCATTGCCGTTGATTGCAACGGTGCAGAAGGATGATCGGGATAATTGGCCTAATTGTTTGCCATCTTACACCCCTTCGTCAAATCCGTCATACTCGCCAAGTGGAAACTCTGGCCAGTTAATTGTTTTTCATAAAGTATCTTGGATTTTATAAATTATCTTGGACATTATAATATATATATTTTTTGCTAATGTGTGTAAAGTCTTGACATATCGACAATATGTAATTATCTGTCATGCAAAAGATATGGCAAAAATGGGAAAGAACAGTCGAAGCGAGTGTACCTGGACAGCAGCCATCTCTCTTTGCCTGGTCGAGGAAGGAGTAGTAGCCAGAAGAAGGCGATCTGCAGGAGTGGATGGGTTCGAGCAGGAGCGTCTACCATTTATACGGCCCGAAAGTTGCTACAGCAGAAGGCACGAGTGATTTGGACATCGCTTAATTGACAGGGACTCTCGAACGCGGTTTGCGGCCTTCCTCGCCACCTGCCGCCAGTCCCTCGGTCCTGCGTAATGTATCTCTCTGCTCCGGTGTCTCGAGAGTCCTTGGGATACATGAATATCTTCGGGGACAAGGCAAGCGCAGGGAAAGCTCGAGATACAGAGGGTGTCTCCAGGGTAAAGACCTCTTGTTTTAGGTAAGAGGAAATGTACCTCTTTTAAGCCCAGCTTTACGCCATCGGTTCGAATTCTCTCTCGACGAAATTGAACCAATTACCACGTGGATGATCACTCCGCTGACGAACACTGATTGGGATAACGATCACGTTGTGTAACCCAAAATGATCATGATAATTTCCCGGAGGAGCCTGTCACCTGTCAACTGTAGGTAGGCGCAGGGTTTTCGATGATTTTCAACCCGTGTAGAACTACAGGCTTTAAGAGCCCCGCTTCAGCTAATGGGCCGCGGATGATACCTACCTATTTTTAGCACTTCGGCCTCACGCTGGGTAGAGGGTAATGGATCGTTAATCCCAGGGGAATTTCGCGTTATTAAAAGTGATTATACTATTATGTTGCTCTTTAAGTAGGCCAGTAGATTACGGGATGGCTGTGTATCAAAATATTGGAATAGATGGGTTGTGTGCGTATTCGTGTCTGTGTTTGTGGTGTTTGTGTTTGTATCCGTATGGGTATGTGTCTGTGCGCAATTTTTCATTTCATTTTTTTATATATATGTACCCACACAGACAAACACACACGCACGCATGCATGCATACACACGCGTACGCACGCGCACGCACGTGCGCGAGTGTGTTTGCTGATACCCTCTCTACGTACGTATTCAGGGAAGTTAATTACACACACTTCACATTAAAGGATATCATCATCTGTAAGACGTGTTTTCAAAGGATCTGCAAATTAATTAGTAATGCGATACATTTCTGGAGCTAGAAATTCGAATTAAGATTAATATAGCTTTGGAATTCGAGAAGGAAGAGAAGGAATGAAATAAAGTAGCGATGGAGAGAGAGAGAGATGATAAATAAAGGAGAAGGGTAGGGAAAGAGAACTTCGTACTCCGTATGACATATTGTGATGAAATATAATGTAATAAATTTGTACTTGTATGTCGTTTATCTCCAAAATATAACGTGCTACACGCTGCTGGCATTCCTAGTGACTAAGGACCATGGCAGAGAACTCTTTAACCACGTTTGTGTGGGTTTTAGTTATGAGTCAGCTGTAGCAGATACAAGGTAGAAGGATAGATCTAGATAGTGGTCTTTTTAAAGTAATTTTTCAGCGTATCCTCTGTAAACGTTGATATACATGTGTGCCTTAAAAGACGTGCAGTGTGTAATCAGCCAATGATTAAGTCAAGACACATAGCAGTGGCTGGATCGTAGTCAGTATGCGTATCACTTTCTTAAAAGGTGGGAAGTAAATGCTTGTTTTTTTTTACATCGAGTACCCCGATAAATAAAGTGTAGAGAATGTGTTTATTGATCAGAAAGTATTGTAAGTAAATGAGAAGAAAGTTTCTCGATATAGGTATAAAAAAAAAAAAACTGACAGGCGAGAGGGAAACCAGGTAGAGAATTTTAGCTTTGACTTTTCCCTCAAATAATGATAATGATAATAATAATGATAATGATTAAGAATAAGAATAAATGATAATGGTGATGGTGATAATAACTATAAAATATAATATTGATAAAGAAATGTAAAACAGTTGCATTTGTTAATGTTTTGCATTAGTTGAAGCTAAAATATTTTTGGAGTATTCAAAGCTCTTCCATTTGAGTATGCCACTTGAAACGTCTTCATAAATCACGCAAGTCCCATAAATGCGATATCGCAATCACTGGACCCAACGTTTATTGTATATTCAACTTGTTTGTCTTTCCAAATTTTGCGGTTTACTGCTTTCACGTGTCAGGTTGTGGGAAAGCACATGTAAATGCAAATAATAATAATAATAAGAAGAAGAAAAAAAAAAAATAATAAAGCACACGTGTTAAGAGAAGGCACAACAATTCAGTGTTTAAACTTCTTAAAGACGAAACGATCTATATTATAAATAGAATTCATGAGTTTGCTTCTCGCTTGTTAGCAGTTAGCAAATATTGAAAAATTGCAGCAAATGAGATACAGATTGCAAGCATATAGATATATATTTTAAAGCTTGGAGCAGTATGGTCATGATAGTATAATCCACATGATAAGATTTGGAATGTCAAGGTTTGGAAGAATACATAATATATGTATTTGGCTTAATTTTAGAATTTGAATACCCTTTAATTCAACTTAAGTTTGTAAAATATGTCAGATTGTTTATTCTCTTGCCTAAAACCACATAATGTTTGTTGACAAACTTCCTGGTTTAAAGTACTTTCATTTATATATATACACATTTTTGGCATAATTTAGGCGTGTGCTTTTACCCCATATTTATGTTTTAATGCATTCGGTAATTGTACTTCACATATGAGGCAAGTTTTCTCTCTCTCTCTCTCTCTCTCTCTCTCTCTCTCTCTCTCTCTCTCTCTCTCTCTCTCTCTCTCTCTCTCTCTCTCTCTCTCTCTCTCTTCTCTCTCTCTCTCTCTCTCTCAAGACACACATATGCCGCGCGTGTGTGTGTATATGTATATTATTATATATATATATATATATATATATATATATATATATATATATATATATATATATATAATGTATGTCCATCTACTTGTATGTGTGTGTTTTTTATGCGTGTTGGTATATTATGCTTTCCAAAATCTGTTACATGGCAATAAAACCATTTAATTTTTATTTTAACATGTGCATTCGTCTCCCAGAAAATATTTACTTTCGAGTGTTAACCGGAGCATTCTCGTTAAGGCTAAACATATTCCTCTGAGCCAATACCTTAGCAAGCAGGAACGGCATTTGCTGGGACAGGTGTGAGAATATCGCTTTCGACACTCTTTTCTAAAAATAATGATAATAATGATGATAATAAACATTTTGCATGATGAGAGAAAATGCCAAAGAATGCCGCTAATGAGCTATAAAAAAAAAATATGATGGTGATTTCGCGAAGAATAATAGATATTCTCTTGGATATAATTTTTTGCCTTGCTTTGTCTTTGTTAATAAAAGCCATTGGTGATTTCAGTTGTGATGTCGAGTAATTACTTCTAGAACTGTACCAGATTTTAACTTACAACATCGTACAGCTGATTGTTCCCCTGTGAGAGTAGTAGATTTGTCACGTGAGATAGCAGTCGCAGTTTCTGGTTTACCAAAGTTGGGAAACAAACAACCCAAAACCTCCCAAACTGAGAAATTATATTCCCCAAAAGATGGACTTTAACTTTTTTCTCCATTTTTTATTTCCCTTTGAACTGAAGGGGGGGGGGTCCAAAGGGAGCGTAAGTTCATTACGGAGACGACATTCAAGTAAACTTTCTTTTAATGGGAGCCGCAAGTCCACGTCGGGGAGAAGGATTAAGCTGAGACGAAGGACTCCAGACATGCCCGGACGCCAGAGGCACGAGAATGGGCTCCTCGCGGGGCTGGGCGGGGGCGAGTCTGAGTGAGGTGGTTAATGTGGGAGGAGAAGGATTGATGGTTTGAAACACACACACACACACACACACACACACATATATATATATATTATATATATAATATATATATATATATATATATATATATATATATATATGTATAAATGAGAGGAAGAGAGAGTGAGTGGGTTGTGTGTGTGTGGGTGTGAGTGGGTGTGGGTGTGCGTGCGTCCCACGAAACCGCATTATCTCTCGCTGCCAGTGATAAAACAAGTTAAAGGAAACAGAATCCCAGAATTAGCTAAGCAAGTATTTAAGCGTACCCACAGCCATATGTTTCGGTTTGGCTTCGAATGTAGTTTCGGTTTGGTTTCGAATGTAAACAGCCGCGCGAAGCGAGAGTCAAACACTTCCGCCCGTGTTTGGCTTGTTCGAACGGCCGCAGGCAAATTGAGGTACTGGTTGTCGTTCACATATTTTAAGCCGAAAGCCTTGAGATCTTTTGTTTCTTAGGAAATGCTACTTTATGTAAGATTTTGAATCGTATAGTTTAATATTGTACATATGAAGGGGGAGCTTTAAATTGCAATCCTTGTATCTAATTTAGTCTTTTTGTTATATTGGTTTATACAGGACGATTGCTGCGGCAGTCTCCTAATGAAATGAAAACGTCCCCTGATTAATGAACACGCATATATTATACCCACATAATGTTTCCCGGATGCTCATAGCCCAGAACCAGACCTGTCGTATGATTTGCCAGATTTTATACGTTGGGGCAAAGGGTTATTTAATTCGATCCCTCCCCTTCGTTCACCAAGCGTGTTTACCAGTGTGTGTGGCTGTATCACATGTTCGTTTTCTTTGACGATGGCCAGCTGGAGAGGAAAGGATCGAGGAGGAGAAAGGCCTTAACTATTCTTTGTAACTGTTGGTGATAATGTTTGCTCGGTCTTTCAATATGCAGTTTGAGATATTAATGTTTGAGGTGAACAGCCATTGAGCAGAAACCAATAAAGAATTAAGTCATTACGTCATTTGAGAGAGTTCGTTACTTCCCCGCTGCGACGGCATGACTTCCTGGAATCATTTTATGAATTAGACACTTTGGTGGTGCTAATAATTTTAATGAGAATCAGATGTGTTTGAGTGAGAATAGGAAATATTATTACCAAGGATAATTATTTGTCTTCGTATAGTTCTTAGATCCGAAGCAAATTGTTTGGATTCCAAATATGGGCAAAGGATCAGTTAAATTATGAATCCTTATAGTTATATCAGGCGAGGTACCGAGAGGAGAGTCCACCAGTAAGCTCGATACATTCATCTGAATATTTTTAGCAGTTCCACTCTCACTAAACAACTATGAGAGTCATCTGGAATTATTACACCATTTCATCTACCATTAACATTGTGACGCTACGCCCACTTACGCTAACACAAATGATATACACTCTCACTGGTACGTTCACTCAAATTCACACTTTCGTAACTCTATTTCCTCCCTCCCCCCCCTCTCTCTCTGTATGTATATATATATATATATATATATATATATATATATATATATATATATATGTATTATAACATCTATGTGTATGCATATAGATGTATGCATATATAGATATATATGCATATATATATATATATATATATATATATATATATCTATATTGTACATACATATATATATATATATATATATGTATGTATCTATATGATACATATATACATACATACTATATATATATATATATATGTATATATATATATATGTATATGTATATGCATATATATGTATATATATAATATATATATATATATATGCATGTGTGTGTCTATGTAGATAGATAGAAAGATAAGTGAGAAATTACACATATATACAATAATTCTGATTATGTATATGTAGATAGATAGATAGAGAAACATACATTTACGTTTATACAATCATTTTTAATTAAAGATATATAGAGAGATATAATATTGGTAAAAGTACACACACACACTACACACACACACACACACACACACACACACACACACACACACACACACACACACACACACACACACACACACACACACACACACACATATATATGTATATATATATATATATATATATATATATATATATATATATATATATATATATATATATATATACATACATATGCATATATATATAGAAACGTTTCCACTCCGCCAGCTGAGAGGCAAAAGCGGAGCGCATGAAACAGCTCTGCAGCCTTCCAGCTGCAGGCAGTGTATCATAGCACGAGTGACAAGAACAGCCATTTTGCGGCGGGGCACGTTTGTCAGCTGAAATATTGATAGAGAAACTGATTTCCCTTCGCTTTTAGGATAAACTCCATGCATCCCCAATATACATGTTATATAACCCTGGAACTGGCGGCTACTTTGGTTGAAAGGGGGCGGGGAAAGGCCAGCGCGTTGCACACTTTGCAGAGGGACTGGGTACTCTGCAGGTGGATAATATGCTTTACATTCAGGGTGGATGTGAAGGTTATTAATGGTTTTAGAGGGATTACGCCCGTGAATGATGCGGCGGTCGGGGTCTTTGAATTATGGGCGTTTCGGTATCGGAATGGGCGGCCGAAATGGAAGGGAAATTGTTTAAAGCTTCGGGAATGGGCGAGGGAAGTGATGCATTTTTGGTGAAGAGGATTGGCCTGGCGACGCATTTTTCACCGGTAAAATATAACTGCCGCATTCTGATTCGGATATAGAGGGTTTCCTTAAAAGTACTTTATGGGAGTATTACTTACGTGGTTTTGCAATATCACTCATTAATATGGACCGGAGCACTGTCTACCCCTTTTGATTTAGGAGTTTAATCTCTTACGTAATAATGAGCGTATGTGTTTACGGGAGCTAGTGTCTCGTGTTTTTTTTTTTATATACCGCATTTTCTCAGTGTAATGGTTGAATTGCATACGGTCGTTATCGTTTTACAGAAACAGTACTACGCCTTTATTGCAACATATGTTGTTGCGGCTACTGCATCTGTTGCTACTGATATTGCTAATGCTTTTCTTCCTCCTCTTTCTCCTTCTTTTCTTTGCTCTTTCTCCTCGCCTTTCCTTCTCCTTCCCCTCCTCTCCTCTTCTTCTCCTCCTCCTCCTCCTCCTCCTCCTCTCCTCTCATCATCATCTCATCATCATTGTCATCATCTTCCTCCTCCTATATTCTTCTTCTCTTCGTTTCTTCTTCTTCTTCTTCTTTTCTTCTTCTTCTTCTTCTTCTTCTTTCTTCTTCTTCTTCTTCTTCTTCTTCTTCTTCTTCTTCTTCTTCTTCTTCTTCTTCTTCTTCTTCTTCTTCTTCTTCTTCTTCTTCTTCTTCTTCTTCCTCCTCCTCCTCCTCCACTGTTAAATGTATCTTCATTACAACAGTACTATTACCGGCACCACAATAATTCTCACCACAACCATTTTTGTATCTTGCAAAAATACCAGTTCCTGATATCATTGATACAACTATTACAACCATGTCCTAAAAGCCATTTCCTTTTGTGAATCTGCCCTAACGCGCATCTCCTCTCTCCCCCCGCAGCTTCAAGACGAGCAAGGGCGTGGGGTACTCGGCGCATTTCGTGGGCAACTGCCTGGTGCTCACGTCCCTCAAGATCAAGGGCAAAGGGTACCAGCACTGCATCAAGTATGAGTTCCAGCCCAGAAAGGTAAGAACTGGTATTGGTTCTGCGTCTCTTTCTTTTTTTTTTTTTTTTCTTTTTTTTTTTGTCCTTGCTTGTTATTGGTCTTTGATTTGAGTAAGAGAATGGGAATGACATTTCCAGGGGGTTTTATGCTCGGGTTTCTAATTAGATCTGGGCAATATTGTATTTTCCTTTGCACTGCAGTAACAGAAATCTGGGTTCATTAATAATGCGCCGCGCGCGCATGGGTCACACATAATATTCACTACATTTTTAACACACACACACACACACACACACACACACACACACACACACACACACACACACACACACCACACACACACACACGCACACACACACACACACACACACACACACACACACACACACACACACACACACACACACACACACACATTGTGTGTGTGTGTATGTGTATAAAGGCATATATATGCACACATGATATATTATATATATATATTAATATATATATATTTATTATATATATATATATATGTGTGTGTGTGTGTGTGTGTGTGTGTGTGTGTGTGTGTGTGTGTGTGTGTGTGTGTGTTGTGTGTGTGTGTGTGTGTGTGTGTGTGTGTGTGTGTGTGTGTGTGTGTGTACTTTGAATAAATTTATTAGATTCTTACTTGTTGCTGCAATTACTGCATTTGTTTTCTTCGACTTAATTAGATTTCTGTGCTTAATGAAGACACAGATTACTGATGGTAAATGTTACATGCATAAGTTAAATCTCGAATAATTATGCTGCAGCAAATGTGGCCAATAAGTATAATGAAGGTGATTAGGAATAACGAGTAAGTAAACACCAAATATGACAAACAAACCAATACACATCGTCATTTTTTAACATGAACCTTTTTTGTCCCCAGTGGTACATGGTGGCAGTTGTGTACATTTACAACAGATGGAGCAAAAGCGAGATC